ATAAAAATTTATACTTAATTATATTTATTATATACAGAATATATAAAAAATTTATGCTTAATTATATTTATTATATACGAAATATATAAAAAATTTATGCTTAATTATATTTATTATATACAGAATATATAAAAAATTTATATTTAAATATATTTATTATTTACAGAATTTATCATTAATTATATTTTATTATATGCAGAATTTTATAAAATTTATATTTATTTATATTTAACATATACGGAATTTATATAAAAAATAACAAAATATATATAATTTAAATTATTAATAAAAGGATTTTTATATAAAATTCTATATTAAGTGATACAGAATTTGCTACCAATTCCGTATATTTGCATACAGAATTTTATATAGAAAATCTTTAATATTAATTCAAGATAATTTTCGTATATTTTTTTTATAGAGAAACCACCTGTAGTGTTCTAGTAAAAAGATTTTATTAAGCAATTTTACTATATAAACTAATTCTTAACCCACACTCTAATTCTAATCTTAGTGAGTTTTAAGAATTTTGTTTGTGCTACCAATCTGGTACACATTATCCAAGTGCTATAATTCACATTATACAGTTTTTTTTGTAGTAATTTATTATCAAATTTTTTGTTAAATTTTTATTAATTTAATTTTTTTTTCTATTAATTGGTGATTCACCAGTCACCTGATGCATGATTATAGTATAATATGATGCAGATCATTATGTAAATTATATATACTCTGAATGCGGCGTTTGCTCAAGAAAAACCTTTTTTGTACTAAGTTAATCGTTCTTTTGTATTAAGTCAAAATTGTAGAGCTCGTTGAGACGCATCTAATAGTAGTTAGATCATTCAAATCAGCCTAGCTGATAGCGAGATATTGTCAAAAAATGATTAGCTGACTATGTAAAATTTTATATAAACAAACTATTATTTACATAGAAATTTTACATAGTCAGCCAATCGTTTTCAATAATATCTCACTATTGGCTAAACCAATTTGAATGATCTAACTACCATTAGATGCGTCTTGACGAGCTCTACAATTTTGACTTAATATAGAAGAGTGATTAACTTAGTACAAAAAAAAGTTTTTCTTGAGCGAACACTACATTCAGGGTATATATGATTTATATAATAATCTGCATCATATTATACTATAATCATGCACCAGGTGACTGGCGAATCACCAATTAAAAATATATCTTTATATTATATTTTAATTATTTTGTTTTATTTTATTTTATTTATAAGTGAATTGGCATTTTATTTATTTTAAATAATTTATTTTTACATCATTGATTATTTTTTTTTAATTTAATACTTAACTTATTTATACTAGATTTATTGAAGAAATGGTCAAACTACTAGAACTATTTGAAACTATAACAAAAAAGTTATCAGACGTCTCATATCCAATATTAAATATAGTTTATTCATATATATACATGCTAAAACAAATATTTGCTTCAAAAATTAAAGACGATAAAACTATTAACAATTATCTAGATCTAATCTACAGGCTTTTAGCATTAGATAATGATTTGAAAGATGTTGAAGATGATAATAGTGATTCAAGTTCTGCAACTGCAGAAAATCAGAAATATTTGCAATATACATATCAACAATTTAAACAACAAATAAAAAGTACACATGGTCGAGATTGTGATCAAAGTTATAGTTATAGTTGTAGTCAAGATCAAGATCATGATCATAGTATAGATACATATCTAATCAAGATGAAATAAAAATATAACTTATATTGAATGCTTATCACTAGCCAATACAAAAAATCTTATTTAAAGAGTTTGTGCTACTATATATCTTTCTTTAGACAAATTATAGGAAGTGTCTAATGAAAGTTCTTTAATTGAGATAATATTGAACCTTAGAATGAAGAATTTTCTGTTTATGAATAAATCTGAGTGTATATAGCAAAGAATACAAACTGAAATTCTTTTAAAAAATTTATATACTCAATTTAAAAGCAATTTAATAAATAAAAATCTTGAAAAATCAATTTAAACAATAAATTTGGTTAACAATACTGAGAACATTTTCTCAAAAATATGGGCTGATAATCAAGCACAAACAAATGATGAAGTTTTTTGTTATCTATGTTATCTAAAAAACCATGAAGCATGAATCCTTTATCGTAATAGCAAGAATATCAAACAAGCTAATCTATTTTATCACAACTAGTATATAAATATCTCTCAATTCCTGTTATATCGGTTTCTAGCAAAAGGCTTTTTTCTGATACTAGAAATAATATTTCAGCAAAAAGAACTCAATTAGCACCTAATTTAGTTGATCACATCTTATTTTTAAAATAGAATAATATATACTTTCCTATGTTTCTACTCTTAGAAAATAACAAATAATATTTTAACTATTATTTTTTTTTTGTTTTTTGTTTTGTTTTGTATTGTTATTTTAATTTTGTTAATTTTCTTTATATAGTAGCAGTGATCTATATGGTAAATAATTTCAAGCTATGTATATATATATTTAACTATTAAATATAATATTTAAGCACAGTAAATTTATATCTATAACTAGTAAAAAAAGGGTATACAATCAGTTTTGTTTTTCAAATAAAAACAAATTATATATTTTAGAATATACAATATTTCACAAGTAAAAAAATAGCACTTACTCATTATATACAAAAGAATTTAAAAAATTACTCTATATGTATAGCAAAAATAGCCAAGTCATATATATACCTATGTATATACATATATACCAAATATAAGCTATTGTATATTTTAAATATTCTAAACCTTTTTTGTCTATTTTAAATTTTTTAAAAACTAAAAAAATTTTTAATAAAATTATATTGTTTAAATGCTCATTTGTTTAAAAGCCGTTCTAATTCTGTTCTGTTCTATATATACAAGTTTAGAATGTAATTAGTAACTAAAAAATACTTAATTCTCAAAAAAGTATCTGTTATTTCTATAATAGCCCTAAATTTTAAGTATTAACTATGAGAAAGAGAATCTTTATTATATGATGCTTATATATATAGTACATATACAAGTATAATTAAATATAATACAATAAAACCAGATTTAAATCTGAAGCAGATTTTTATTAGTAAAATTAATTTGGATTTAAAAAATAGATCTAGTTTAAACTCTAGCAACAACAAGTAAGTATACAACTATTATAGCATATCTAGTATACAATATTAGATTTTTCATATTATGATAATTTAAAATAACACATCTTCTTATTGTCTGTTACTTCTTTATAATATGTATATAAATCTTTAGTATACTATTTAATTGTAAATTTCTTTCTATTTATTTATAAGATTTAATATTAATATTTTATATATGAAATTTATAAGACAATATTATAATATCTTTGTTTTTTTGTTTCAGCAATCCTTCTTTTATTATTTAAATCGGCATAGAATTATTCTGTAGAGGCTAATCTACCTATAAATCTACATATGCTTATACTAATAAAGAATCACTTGATCTATTAACAAGAATCTATAAATAGATTTCACAAAAAAGACCCAAGTGCGACCCACCTAAGTGGTTCATCTTTACTTCGTCTGAGATTTTTAACTTACTGAGAATTTAAATCCCAAGAGTCCACAGTAGGTGCTTATCAACCTTGTCAAGATCATTGCTCTATATAATATATTACCAATCTGAAGAAAAATTTCCATCAACAAAAAAATTCAAAAAACAAAATAGGATAAAAGGAATATAAGAAAGGGGATATTTTAAAAAGAAATATATAAAAAGTAAAAATACTAAAAAGGGGAAGAAAAAAAACAATACAATACAAGACTTAAGAAACTAACTAACAAATTGGTATCTGCTAATCAGGATACTTATCTACATGATCATAGTAATTATATAGAACTTAACTGATCTAAAAAAAACCAAACTAAATACACTTTAACCTATACCAAGAGCTAAAAATTGTATATATATAACTTTGTCGCTAAACTGTATATCTTAATTTCTTTTTATCATCCTAACTTTTAAATCCATATTCCATTCCAAAGTATAACAAATATATCAACTCCACGTGTTCTCACTATCTCGTCTCATCTACTTGGTATGTAAGTCTTTTAAAACCTTTTAAATCTTTAATATACAGGGTCATGTTCTCAAATAAGGAATAAATACTTTCCTATGTAGCCATATATTTGTTATATTTATGTTACAGAGTCACTGAATATAGAAGTAATAAACAATGCTGATCTTTTGACAGAAGATAGATAAATCTTCCACTTTTTGTTAAAAATTGGTTTTGGAAGTATCAAAACAGCGAGAGAAGTTTTGGTTCTGTAAATTTTTAACTAAAGAGAGTTTTTCCAACTATTCATCGTATTCTTCTATCTTCAAACTTCTTGAGTTTTCTTTCTACTTGCTGTTCCTAGAGATTTCTTCAGTTTAGATACTAAATGCAAAAGATAGTTCACTCAGAAAGAAAGCAAAAGGCTTGACCCCTTTGCAAACTGTCCAAAACACCTGCTTCTCAGTGTATCATATTTAAAGACTTTATCAACAACAGTTTATATTAAAAAAACTTCAGGTTGTTGTTAACTTCTGACCTTAAGTCTTCAACTTGCTTTCGGTACTAGTTGGTTCAAGTGATTATCAGGAAGAGTTGTCTATATAATATCTTTTTTTAAAATTGTCTTGCTTTAAAAAAATATAGTATATAGTAGTATTGTTACAGGATAGTTGTGAACAGTAAGTTTGAATACTTTAAACAATTTTGAACAATTAAATAAATTAAAATTACTCAAAATTTTATTAAGATAAACTATATTAATTTTTAAATAAAATATGTTCAATATATAAAAAAATATATAATAATATATTTTTTAAGCAAATTTATTAATTATTAAAGCTTGAATATATTTTGAATACTTGTAAACACTTGGATACTTGGATGTTAGACAGTACTAAAAAAACTTTTGGACAGTCAAAATGTATAACACTAGTATATAGAATCTACAAAATTACTCTTTGGAATTATATAAATTATAGTGATTTTGTTAACAAAAATTTTATATATTATAGCTTATATACTATAGTTAATCAATTATATTTTTTTTCAATATTAAGGTGACCTTTTAGCTATCTTTTTTTATTTAGTTATTAGTTAACTTTACTATATAAGACATATCAAACTAAAACACAGCTTATAGCTTTTTTAAATTTTGAGAAAATCACATTTAAAATTTTGTATAACAATAACAATGATGATCTATTATTAGTATATATAAACTATTGAATCGACATTAATTAGTCAATTACACAAATATATTTCTATAACTCTGCAGTAAGGATCAATAATCAGATTTCTGAATTCTAATTTTAGATTATAGCTAACTATATATGAGATTTAAAAAAGAAGACATCGATAAAAATTTTATTATATAAATCAATATTTTAAATATTAAATTATCTAAAGAGTATCTACTTTATACAACTATATAGTTAACTTATTTTTACAAAAAATGCTATAAGCCATATTTTAGTTTAACGCATCTCATATACAGTCAGACCTCTCTAAATACAATCTCCATAAATGCAATACCTCCCTAAATGCACGTTTTTGTCTTGGCTATATGAAATCATTAATGCTAAATGCATATTCTATATTCTGCAAATGCACATTCACTCAAAAGATTTTTTATATCATACTAACCTCCCTAAGT